GTATTTGGTTGGGAAATGAAAAATTAGTATAACGGTTTGCAGAACAGATGGAATCGGAGAACGGCACTCAAATTATTCTTGTATTAGTGTTCATATCTCACTAATTCTCTTAAAAGAGGCATGAATCTACCTGTCAATATATCCGTCCAATGATTGCTGCTGGTACTATATATTTTAATATAATCTGTCTAATAAGACTTATTATCCCAGGAAATACCATTAAAGATACATCATTGTCCTCAGAATGTAACATATTGTCATATGTTAGATCCTGGGATTGTTGTATTTTTTTTTTTTTTGAATCGGTAGAGAGAGAAGTTAGTGATAAAATAACAAAGACTGCTTTTTGTTGCCCCCCTGCTACAAAAACAAAACAAAATGGTGAACGTTCGTACAGAATATACCCAAAATATATGCCTCTACTTGTAGGTAATTAATAATTGATTAACATTAAGAGAAAGAACAAAATGATATAAACATTTAAATTTAATGAATGTGCGAAATGGCTACTCATGGACTTCCGCGCATGCGTGTAGCCTTAAGTATATAAAAGAGAGTTTAGCATTCAGGTTGTAAAAATGTGTATTTAGTTTGTAAATATTCGAGTTATTTTCTGCATGACGCTGGGATCATGCGAAGAAATGTGAGGTGAGTGTTTCAGGGAGAAGCCGAGTCCGATAATGACCTTGTCGCCGAGGCCAACAGCTCTTTCTATTTGGTTTCGGAACAATGCATAGAGCACGTGACGCTGGCCGAAGATGGACAGCAGCAGCAGCAGCAACGTTAGAGAAGAAAGAGGAAAGGGAGAGAACTCTCTAGCTGCAAATCACAGGATTCTGTTAAAACAACGACTGATAGCAGTAACTGTGTGAAGACATCTGTTATAATACGTGTGTGACATATTGACAGACTACCGTATATATTCGTGTAATAGTCGATCTCACGTAGCAGTCGTGTCTTCTGGTCTTGACTCTAAAATATTATTTAAATTCTCTTATTTTGCATTGATTTCATTTCTGAAACTTTGTCCAGGTTGCATAGGCTTCTCATGGGTAAATATATTTTCAAGAATAACGGATAATAATAATCACATTATTGTCTACTTGAAATCTAAAGTAATGTTAGACAGGGATAGCTACACAGATAGGTGTATAGTCTCTGAATAAAATGAAATGGTATATATGAAAAAAGAAAGAGAAGTTACTCTTGAGCCAAAATATTTGTTTAATTTCTGTAAAAGAATATATTTTGATACAAAGAGTTCAGTAAAGTTAGGTTTTAATAGAAATAAATGGATATTATTTCGTTTTTTTTCGGAAGATTTATCGCTAAAAGTTTTTTTTTTTCTCATTCCACGAAAAAATGCACTAACTCCATGCAATTTAATATTTTATATACATTCATCTAATTTGGAATTTAAATCCTTCTGAGTTGTTCAAACATTCTGTAGATATTCCTTAAATCGCGTGTTAAATTCAATCTTCTTTTTTGAATGCTCCACTATTGCGCGTATGAAGTTTTCATTAATGGATACAGAGATTTCTCCTGAATGAAAACGTCTTTTCACGAATAATTGATTAAAATATGAGATAAGGTAGAATTTTAAGTCAAGCTTAACAATAATTATTATCATTATTTGTTGAAAGTCAAATGAATAATTTAATGATATTTTCTAAATAAAAATTAAAGGAAAAATTAGCCATGAAAAGCAGCTATAAAAATACAAGTAGAATATTTTATAGCTTATATGTGCGGCTCATAGCGAGAACTCAAAGAGACGGGTTCGAATTCCGATCAAGTTCGATACATTCACTTTCACACAAATAGCGTTGGAAAGGGTATGAGTGAATCTCTTCTCTGGAATCCAGCTATGGGTTAGATAACAGGCCAGACTGGAAGCTCTAGCAGTAGTTGGTAACCAAAGGCAACACTGAATTTAAATCTATCATAAGGATTATGTAGTTCGCAGTAACTTTTTAATCCTGACTGGGGTTGAGGCGATAAGATTATAGTATCTACCTAAGATAGAAGAGATTATCTTAGTAAGTTTCTATATTTATTTTAGTAAGCTAGGTTAAGTATGATAGGTGAGACAATAAAAGAAACCAAAACTCATATTTCTGAAGGTCTTTGCTTTCTACTAGTGTTATGATAATTAACATATAAGTATCTAAATCCCAAGGGGCATATATTCATGTAAATTGTCTTCCAACTGGTTCATCTTAAAATCATCATAGAAAATGAATAAACCTTTGCACATATGGTGCTTAATGGATTTTCAATGTAGAAATAAATAATTTAGGCATTTCTCATTAAATCGCATATATTTTGAAGATAATGATTACTCCACACACATTTGGTTAAATATAAACTCATATTTGATTAAGGTTTTGTATCTGAACAAAAGCATTTTTTTTGCAATAAATGAGACGTATTAAAATCGGGCATAATTGTTTTGCAGACAAATTCTAGAAGCTATGAACATGTGTAGACATACATACATACATATATATATATATATATATGTGTGTGTGTGTGTGTGTGTGTGTGTCGTATACAAATTTATGACATATAATTAAATTTGGAAGCGAATAATCATATATTTATACGAAGATATGTGTAGGCATTTTATCCACAGTCTCTGCAACATTGAAAAAAATAAAGACTTCACTGAACACTCGTTAAAAAAATGATTTATCTTAATCTATCATATCATCGAGTTTATTACATTCACTTACGCACAAACACCTTTGGGAAAGGCATGCATCCATCCCTTCCCCCAGCTATGGGTTAAAGCAGGACTGATTGGGTCTTACAGCTTTGATTGACAAACAGTTTACCACAGAAAGCAATGGCTGTCTACTGCAGGAATTCTTCTGCCAAGTCAATCCTGAATCGAAAAAAAGACATGATCACCCAAGCATGCATCAAGTATATCACTTAAGGAATAATAAGCTTTACGACTGCTCTTATTCTTATTAAATATGTTTGTAAACTGCAAATATAATTTTTTTTTCACACGTCAAATCGCTTAAGAACTTTAATTAGAGTTTTCAATATTTTACCTGTTAAATGAAACAAATAATTAAATAAGCGTTGATGCTGAAGGTGTCTTTAATCAAAGTTCAAGTCGCAGTTGAATAATAAAAATTGATTATCTCCCTTGCTTAAAATTTGCTATTTATAATTCGAAACATATTTATTAAGCTTATTTTAATACGACTCAAAGTTACAAGTGTGAGACATCCAGTAAGGATAAAATTTGATACACTAGTTGTAGCCTGCGAGACTTAATATTTACTAAGTTTAACTAAGCCTGGCACAAGGCTACAATAGTAATGCAACTGTGAGGATCAAATCATTACCAATCAGCTGCAAGACTAACTATTGTTCTTTGAAAGGCATATATGGTTGTATAAGCGTGTATATTTACTCAGCTTCACTTAGTCTGGTTAAAGACCACTAATATTGAGCACTTGGGGATCCAACTCACTCCAACAGTGATGGTCTGTGAGATTAATTATTTGTTAAGTTTAGCTTATCTGGCACAAGTGTGAGGTCTAATTCTCTACGGTAGTCATGATTTGGAAAGGAAAAAAGAGAGAGGTGGAGGGAGGAGGAGGAGGAGGAGGATGAGAATAGAAGCGAGGAAACGAAGGGAGAGAAGAGGGAATGAAATAGAGAAGTGGGGAGAATGGGGGTCAGTTAAAGAGAAAAAGAAGAGGCTGATCATACGACCCATACCAGCCGGGGTAAAAAAAAAAAAATGTCTGTTTGGATTGATTTCATATGCAAAATTTTAACTGAATTGAAGCCTTAAAATATGTGATTACCAAAAAAATTGGGATACCAGTTAATATGTTATTAACATGTTACAAACTTGTTAGAAATTACATGTTAAGGTGTTACATATTAACACGTTACATTATGCTAACATGTTATACTCTACACATGTTACGGGTATGCCACACTCCCAATTACTATGTTCCATTAAGTCAAATGTAGAATGAAATGAAAAATTATTGTGTATAGTTTTTAACACTTGATTGGTATTCAATAATGACAGCTCCGTTATTTTAACAATTATAAAAATGAACAGAATGCAGATATTCAAGGTAAAGGAAGTTGTGGAGAGCCATGTTCTCCTACTTCCTGAATCGATATAACACTTAAGAAAGAGGTTGATATTCCTCTCATGAGGCATACGGTTACAATTATATAACCTCGCGAGGCTTGAAATGTCTTGCTATACACTTTGATTATCCACTAGCTAAAGTCCGATCTATGATGTGATATTTTTATGTTCAACCACGGTCAGTCAAGTGCCATGCGTGATACACGGTTGGGCGATCATGTCTCATTCGATTCATGACTGGCTAAGGCAGAAGATATTTCCGCAGTAGGTTACCTTTTTTTTTCTGCGGTATACTGGTTGCCAATCAAGGCTATACGACCCAGTCTGTAATGCTATTCAGCCCATAGCCGAAGGGACAAGAGATGGATACAAATCTTTCCCAATGGGCATTTGCGCCTAAGTGCAAACCCAACAGGAATTTGAATTTAGCTTTCCGATTTCCGTCCGTTATCAATTACACCACTCGCACATCCATGTTTAACCTTATAAATTAGAAATGTGATGATATACAGGGTGTCCATAAAGTTCGTGTGCACTTTAAAACATTTATAACTTTATTTGTATTTGCGATAGAAATAATTTATAAAAAGGATCAGAAAGAAGTAAATCTATATTTTTTAAGGTTTTATTGAAATTTTATTTAAGTTTCCATATGTCCTCCATCATTAGTAATACAAAGAGTAATACAATTTTACAGTTCACGGAAAACATTTGCCAACTGATTTACAGTAATGCCTGAAATCACATTAGTTATTTTAGTTATTCTTAAAACTAGGTACATTAAACTTTATAACATTTTTTACAGATTATTTCTATCGAAAATATAAATAAAGTTATGAATTTTTTAAAGTGAACACGAACTTTATGGACACCCTGTATAATGCTAAAATAATTACTGTCATTTCGTAAGGAGTATTTTTTAAACTAATGAATAATACAGCCGTATGTAAAACTTGTATATAAACTTTAAAAAGTATTATTCCTTTATACTTAATAAGATATACAATTAGATGTAATGTTGGAAATGGCGGGCTTTTGATGAGTTTCTTGAAATATGTTTTATATGTCCTTTCTCATTCTACTGGCGAATTTTAGTAAAAGCAAAGTCAGAGTCCAACTACAATCAATGAATTCTTAACCTTAAAATCAAGGTTAAACACACATTAGGCTTTTACACGAGGTTAGGGCTCAATCTATATATTACGTCTGCATATTTAAAATGTACACGTGTTGCTAATGTTTCACAAACATAAGAATGCACATTATTAAGTTGAGTGTTTTTTTTTACATTAAGAATATATAAGTCAAATATTATCTTTATTATCTATCTTTATTATCTATCTTTATATATTATTTGATAGATTGTATTTTTATACTAAGAATATATGCTAAATTAAATCAAATATTATCTTTATTTAATGACTACATATGCAAATGGATTTATTAATTCCGTCTTTGTGGCTAGTGAGGATGTTTCAATTGTAACCAATCGATTAGAGATCAATTTCAAGAGAAAAAAAAAGCGCATGTCATTTGCTTGGATAGGCTCCGAATTATAGAAAGAGACCTTTTTTCAGAGAGTCGAATGAAGTTGTCGTTCGATGAGAGGGGAGCTGGCGGACAGCACGCAGCACACGGAATAAATTAATAAATAAAACAGCCTCTGTTCCCCGGCTGCGTTGCGCACAAGAGCAGAATAAAAGAATAAGAGAATAGCTGGACTGGGAAGTAAGAGTGGGACATTCTAAAAGAATAATAGAATCGCTTTGATCGTTAAGGTCGCACTTTAGAAAGAATGTGATAGAGATCTACAAATGTTTTAAATAGATAGATATAAACAGAACTAAACAGATAGATAGATAGATAGATAGATAGATAGATAGATAGATAGATAGATAGATAAAATTGGCTGAAATAGATAATGGATAAGCAGACATAGACATATAGATAGGAATATATTAAGACACATATGAATACATACATGCATACAGACAGACTGACAAATATAGACACTTGTATAGGAAAATAAACTGAAAAAAAAACTCTTGATAGATAGATAGATAGATAGATAGATAGATAGATAGATAGATAGATAAAGAACACACTGAGATAGATAGATAGATAGATAGATAGATAGATAGATAGATAGATAGATAGATAGATAGATAGATAAAATTAGCTGAAATAGGCATGTAGATAGGAATATATTAAGACACATGAATACATATATGTATACAGACAGACTGACAAATATGGACACTTGGATAGGAAAATAAACTGAAAAAAAAAACTCTTGATAGATAGATAGATAGATAGATAGATAGATAGATAGATAGATAGATAGATAGATAGATGAATAATAGACTGAGAAAGAGATTAAGAAACGAAAGGCCGAAATAAAATGTGAAATGAAGGAAGTGAAAAAGTAAGGTAAAAAGCATAGAAGGAAGGAAGGAAGGAAGGAAGGAAGGAAAGTATTTTAATTGAACAACGAAATGCATGCAGACTGTATGACAATTCAAATTGCTCACCAAAACATCTGAATGATCTGCAATCTGTGCCATTATTACTTCTTATGCATTCATTTCCTCGCGTGAAATTCAAGCATGCGCATATGCTACCTCTGAGGTTGCATATCAATAAGACTATGAGAAACGTGACGTGCCTATTGACAAAACTGCAGAAGACTTTAAATTCAATGAATTTAAACTTACCTTTCTATATTTAAAGCAGTTAATATATTTAACTGATCTGCAGCCCTATTTATACATCTGTACTAATATGTATAAAGATGAAAATAACTTCAATTGAACAAAAATTTCAACATCATCACTTCAACGCATATTGAAAATCGGGTTTTAGGAATGATATATCACACTTACCGGTTTTTTTTTAAGCCATTTGTTTCTTCCCAATTTGCTTTACCTATATTCTGTTATCCTACCCAATGATTTGATTCTACTGTGTTGCATTTTATATAACTGCTCTGGATAAGCAGAGAAAGTAACTGCTATTCATAAGCTTCGGAATTAACCGGGAAATAATACAACTATTCAAGCCACTTGCTTGTTAATCGAACACTTATTACCTACAAACATAATTTTCGCGCTGACCTTCACCACTTTTATCTTAAAATCATCCAACAAGCAAGATTTGAAATGTTTAAATACGCTAACATCATCAGATTTTGATCGAAAATGATGATAGATATATTTTTTGATATATGTGCAGTATAAAATATTGATATATTATTCATGTAGAAATATTTGTTGGGCTTTTCGACGTGATGTAATGGTTAGCAAGCTTGTCTCGCTAGATCAATTACGACTGACTAGTGAATTCAATCCGCACGGGGTGCTGCATACTTTTGGCCTTGTGCCACATCTTAACGCTTAAAAAAATCACCAGATACCTATAATTCTCTTATTTCTTCTTTTTCTTTCTCACTCTTAATATACGTAGATATATCAATAAATTCATAGCTTAATGATGAAATAAACAGCATTTACTTAAACACATATGCTAGCAAATGCACACACACACACACACAGATATATATATATATATATATATATTGTCGTCAGACAAACTCTGACGATCGTAAAAGCGTGAAACCCAGGGTCACAAACTCACATCAATCCAACCAAATATGTTAGCTCTATCTCTGATATTGAGCGCTTTCTAATAAGTACCGCGCATATAATATATGAATAATTATATATATATATATATATATTTATATACACACACTTTTCACACACACGCACACACACACACACACACACACACACACACACACATATATATATATATATATATATATATATAGAATAAATCCTAATGACCCAGGCAAACCCAGGGTTTTCCTGGCTCCTGAAATTTATTCTAGTTTATCGCTCTACTTAGCGTATTGAGCACTCTACGTTTTAATCTTTCTACTCATTTGGATTTTTTTGTTCTTCTTTTGACTAAGGACTTTAAGCATTTGGCGATTTGTTTCGTTTTCTGAAGTTTTTTTAGTTCTTTTTGTATTTCTAATTTTTTCCTCAGGTACCGATTTCTCCTGACATATCTGCAAAGTTGAGCTATCCAAGCTTTTCCAAACGAGTACTACTATTAATATATATATATATATATATATATATATATATATATATATATATATATATATAAAAAGAGAGAGAGAGAGAGATAATTGATAATATTAGTTTTAATATATATATATATATATATATATATATATATATATATATATATATATATATATATATATATATATATATATAAATTCTCAAGAGGGTAGAATCCAGGTAGAACACAATGTTCAAGACAGAGTAAGAATATAATATAAAAGGCTGAAACACTAATATTCCATGGTTATAATTTATTACATTGGAACCGCATTCACGATCCAATTCATCAGACCAACAAATTCAAAAAGAAATCGGAAAATATAACTCCGGGTATAAAAAATAAAATTTTGGTGATAGTGTATGAGTGGGAGTCTCACTAAAATTTTGTTTTTTAAACCCGGAGTGTTTGAGCCTTTCATATATATATATCTGAATTCATTAATAGTAATTGTTTAATTGGAATCAAATTTAATTATAAAAAAAAAATAATAATAGAAAAACAACAGAATTAGTGTATTGAATATGTGCTAACAGGAATTTAAAAAAAAACTTTTTACGTTCTTATAATGAGAAATTATTTAAGGGAAAAACTGCATTTAATATTGTGCGTATAAGAGCTGAGGAATTTGGAACACCTAAACTCCATATTAGAAAAGTTAAAAAATCGAGGAATAGCTTAAAGTATCCAGATTACATCCTTGCTGGGGTCTGCAAAGATACTGAGGAAGGTGTTGGATATTTGAAGCAAATTGTAGTCACTCATTCTCCAGTTTGAAATCAACGCACGAATGCATCAACTATAGCAACAACAACAATAAAAAATATTCATGAAAGAAACAAAGTTACCTGACAAGAGTTATGCGCCATGCGTGATACACTCTTAGGTGATCATGTTTCTTTCGATATTTGACTGACGAGGCTGATTTATTTCCCGCAGTAGGTTGCCATTTCTTTCTGCGATAGACCAGTTGCCGTTCAAGGCTATAGAACCCGGTCTGTTCTGCTATTTACCCATAGCTAGAGGGAGAAGAAGAGAATTCATAACTTTCCCAAGGGTATTAGCACATAAGTAAATTTCAGTCAGTTATGTGTCATGCGTGATACACGTTTAGGCGATCATGTATCTTTTGATACATGACTGACAAGGCAGATTTTTTTCCTCTGCAGTAGGTTGCCATTTCTTTCTGCGGTAGACCCGTTGCCATCTAGGGCTATAGAACCAGGTCTGTCTTGCTATTTATCCATAGCTGGTGGCGGGGAAGAGGATTCATACCTTTTTCAAGGGTATTAGCACGTAAGTGAATGTAATGGATTCGACTGGAATTCGAACTCGGCTCTCCGATTGCTCAATCCACCGTGCCTCCTCAACTGCCTTACTAACATGAGCAGGGATACTAAAGAGAATGTTGTGAGGAGTATTGAATAGAGTGGCTCTCACTTAATCTTCAGTAAAAGTTAACAGATATGATTGATGTTAACCTCCTAGCGATTATGATTTACTTCAATTGTACAAAGCATGGCTGAGGTTGAGTCTGCTGAGGATGGAGATCAGATCAAATCTTTTGAGGAGATCTACGGTAGCTAAATCTCATGCAACATCTGGCGGGAACAAGATGCGGCAAATGCAGCAAATATAATTCTGGATTTTTATTTTTATTTTTTTTTCGATTTTGAAATTAAAACGGATAATTCTTTCTTGGTCATTAGATTAAATCTAATCGTCATAATCAAA